TACCAAGATATTTAACTGATTTGCTGATCACAACACATTTAAAAAATGGATTAGAACATTGCACATTTTGGATGACAAAAAAAAAAAAAAAAGATGAGACATGCAAAACATCACTTAAAATTCAAAAGTGTATGGATTAAAATCTCTTTAACAAAGACGGTTTCTCAAGCCCATAAATAGTAAAAGTACCAAATGGACTGATGTGAAATTTCTAACATGGAACCATTTCACATTCTAGCATATTGAGAAAGTGTTAAATAATTATTAGAGATTTATTATTTGCAACAATGAAAAGAGTTATCTACCCTTCTTTTCAGTGTAGATGTTTGTAAAATTTAAATAAAACAAGACAATCTTTAAAATTATTTTTCTATAAAAGATTTCCTGAATGGAAACTTCTCAAATGGTACTCCATTTTTATTTTGAAACCCTTCATTTTCCAACAAAATTATTTCACTGTGGCAAAAATGACATTGTATCATCTGCTACATAGAAGTCAAGATCATCTTTAATTAGATTGACTAAAGACAATCAAGACAATTTAAGAATATCACAATTTTATTGAAATGGATTATCTCAAAGCTGTATAAACAAAAAACATTTTAATATGTACCTAGCAAATAAACAGTTATTATCTGTTACAATGTGAAGTGTTTTTTCATAGCTTTAAAAAAAAATGCTAAAAACTAATAATTTATCATAATTCACAATTATTTCTTTTATTTTATAATATATATAATTTTGATTATTATATTTAATTGTATTTATATATGTATTGATTATTATTTATTTCAACTTTTTCCAGAGTTACTGTTGTTTTGTCTTATTTTTACTTTGGTTTTGCTTAACTAAAGTTAGATTTATCAATTTTGCCTTTTCCACTCATTTACTTTATCAATTGATAGTTTAGATATTGGTACTCTCAAAAAAGAGCATAGATTATTTTTGATGTTATAAATAATGAATTCATTATATTTTTATTTTGGTCTCAACTATCTTTTCCCACAGTTATCAAACTTTTCACTCTTTATATTTGTTTATTTATGTAATACTATTTTGCAACTTGTCTTGCTTTCTGGTGTTTTTATTAAAAAAAAAAAAAAAAAAAAAAAAAAAAAAAAAAAAAAAAAAAAAAAAAACAGTTTTTTATCTTCTAAAACATGCATTATGTATATATATATATATATATATATATATATATATATATATATATATATATATATATATATATATAGAGAGAGAGATTTAAAATTATACCTATCTCTCTGTTCCTTCTCTAATTTCGACCATATCTCTCGTCCCCCTCCTCTCTCTATCAAGTTACATCAACTTAAAAGTACCCCCTCAAAAGCTTGTATAAAAATAATATGTAAATTTTAAACCATTTTCTATGCTTGGAAATGTGATCTGAGGAACCAGGAAAAAACAGCCTTCCCTGGGAAATAAAATATAATCAATGGACCCTTAAGGCTGTCTGTTTTTTAATTTAAATTAAATTAATATTCGCTCTGGTTTTACATTGAGCTCTCTGGATTACATCCTCCTTGGGATTGTCCATATGGATTACCAAACATTTCATTATATATATATGTTCTAAAGGTTGTCATAACTAGGGATGATAGTGGGGACAGATTCCCACTGTAAGATGCCCCCATGGCATGCATCCCAAGTAACCACTGACAACTAAGTCCATCTCCAAACTGGACAAGATGGACCTCTGGACCTGGTGAGAGCACAACATAGAAGACAGAATTTTACAGATGTCAATGCTTAACTGACAGAGTTGGATGACATGGATTTTCTTCAATAGTGGGAGGGATCATCATATTCCATTGGTCAAGTACTGCCCACCAAAAGAACAAAGAATCCAGCTCTTTGTATTGCAAGCTGGAATGTGCAAACTATACACACAGGGCTATCTGATGACTTTCAGAAAATAGATGGCTCTTGAAAGACTGCAGTAACTGATCAGGAGTTAAACAGACTGAATGATGTGGCAGATCTACAGGAAACAGTTAGTCTCTAAAGGAACAACACATTCCTTTCTTCTAGCAGGGGAGAGGAGATGATGAATGCAGGGAACACAAGAGTTGGATTCACTGTCAGGAAGAACCAGTTCCATGTGACTGAACCTCTAGCAGGTAGTACAGAGAGAATTTTCACCCTTTCGCCTCTCTACATATGAAAGCCTTGTAAACCTTGTGTGCCTCTATGCATCAACACTCCAAAACATGTCCAAAGTCAAAAACCAGTTCTCTGTTCAACTTGGCATCATCAAGTGTATCCCAGGAGACTTCAATTCGAGAGCGGACACTGATTAAGCATACTGGCCAAACATGTTAGGTCACCATGGTATAGGGAAAATGAATGAAAATGGCCAAAGACTCCTGGAATTTTGCTGCTATCATAAATTTTGTGTGACAAATGCCTATTTTCAGAACCAGGTTTGCTACAAAGCATCCTGTAAACATCACAGGTCAAATCATTGGTACCAGCTGGACCTAGTCATCACTAGATGCAATTCCCTAAACATCTGCAACACCAGAGCTTACCACAGTGCAGACTGCAATACTGACCACTCCCTGATCTCTTCAATGGTAAAATTAAAACCCAAGAATCTCTACCATTCAAAGAAGAAATACCTGTTAAGAATTAACTTTAGCAAGACTGCCTATCCAAACGAAAAGAAGTTCTTAGAGAGGTTTGTGGAGACCTCCATAAGTGAATATAACAAAACCAATGGAAATTGGAACTGTTCTTTGATTAACAATTTTGAGCCATTATTCATTACACCACCTGTACGTTCATGTTTACAGCCCTTAGTATTCCCCCCAATCAGTCACCCATCGGACCAGGTTTGACATTGCTTATTTTCAGTGATCATACAAGAACCGGTGCTCCAGTATGATAGAGGCAAAGTCTCCAAGTTGTCAAGAACAAGAACTTACACTTCTATGCTATAATGTTAATTCAAATAAAAAGTGTGTCATTTTTGTTCTTATACATTATGATCGATTTGATTTTTTTTAATCCTGTCATCAGATTTCATAATACATTAATATTTCTTGATAAATAGGATTAGATTAAGATAAAATTTTCTAATACATTAATATAAAACCCAACTCTCATGTTACAAGTGATAACTAAAAACTTATTTACAACTATCAAGTAGAACTCAGGGTTTTCAACTTAATCCAAGTTTATCAATGATAAGCAAAACAGTCTATTTAATGTCCATTGTATACTGCTTATTGTAACCAGACCTATTTTGGGAACCCTATTTAACAGAGTTTATAATGAAATCGTAAGATTCAATACATCATATTTTGTGGAATACAGGACATTCAAAATCTAGTTTGAAATATGTTGGGAAAATTTTCTAGAGCCTACAAAAAAGGATTTGTGGATCCTCAAGCTTGACCTTCACTCTACAGGATGCAAGATTTTCGGGATCAGGTTTTAAAAAACAGTACATTTATTATGTTGCACAATACAGTAATTAATTTAAACAACACAGGCCATTTCTTTCATTTGACATGTATATATGGATCAGTTAGCTTGGTAATAACACTTTGTAGAGATCTAGAATTAGGTAAAGTGGTGCATCATGCTTTAAGGAGCCTGGTTACACTTGCTTAAAATACCTGCTTAAAAGGCTCACATTTTATACTTGATATATAGTTTAACCATTAACACTAAAGTATGACAGAATTTTTTAAAGAGAAAAAATGATGTAATGTTTTTACAAGAATTATGGCACTATTTTTTTTTTTTAACTGAATAAATTTAAAAACAGAAAAAAAAAAAAGATGTTTTCTCAAGTAAAACTGACTTGAGGCTAATCAGAGCTTCTTACCAAAAAAAATTATTGAAAATCTTGTGTTTGGTGATTTATGATATTTTTTGGTTTTGAAAACTCATCCTGAATAAAATTTTATTTTCTTGTATAAATTTAGAGTAATTTATTAACTTTAAAAAAAATTATTTGATTAATTTTAACATAAGCCCAGTACTTCAGAAAATATTTGCCAGTTTTCTTTCCTTGTTATTGCAGCACAGTGTTTAATATTTTTTTTGTTTCAAGCGCTAAATTATACAATACATTCTAACAATCTGCACACATTTTTTTATATCTGTTTGTTAAAAGGAAAAAGCTTTTTCATTAGAACTGAGTGTTAGAAAAAGATCAGTCATGTCTGATAAACTATAAAGATTTGAATCCAAAATAAAGCACTTTGGACTGAGAACTTAATACAAAATGAAGATTTTCTAAATATTCTTCTTACAGTTGAATATTACCAATTCCACAGAAAATTTCTCTTTTAGTTGTAAAAGACAAAGGTAAAGTTACAACTCAAAACTAAAAAATGGTGAAAATGTAAATTTGTTTGAATTTTTAAAATCATTTTTTGATTATTATTCTTTTTTGTTGTTTGTGTGAATGACATCTGCTGATTGGTCTTCATATCCTAGATGATCAGCAAACCTAACCAAAGATAGGACAGAAGACAAGGAGTTTACTATTTCTAATCAATGCTGCTTGCTTCATTGTATAAACACAAAACAATCTGAGCATGATAAAAAGTAACAAAAATAAAATCAAACAAAAACTAATCAAAAATAATCTTAAAACTTTAAGAAAGATTAAAAGAACTTATTAAGTCAATTTATTCCTCAGTTTCTCTTTTTAAAGAAAAGCTAAGGTTAACTGATAACAGTGCGAAGTGTTTTGTAAGGTGAGGTTTTTCGGTCATACTTACAGAGTTCCGTTCTTTAATCAAAATTCTTGCCACTTATAAACATCAGCATTTTACACCTGCATTTCACAGATAGGTGAGGAATTCTGGAAATGGCAAAATGGTTGAAAGACAAAACAAAAAACAAGTGTTGTCAATATGTATAGATATGTATATTTCTTACATAGATAACATAGATAAAGCATCTGGTTCTCTGTGTATATATACTTTTTACTTATATTTTTCATTTCAACAGTATTGTCATCATTCAGGTCCAAACATAATTTGTCCTGCTCCCCCTTTCTTCATGTACCGCCTGTAACTTTTATATCGTGCACTTTCAGCTAATTTTGCTTTTAGATCTTCTTCCTGTTTCGTTTTCCAGACCTGGGGAGAAGAGGAGAAAAAAAGATCAAATCAAAACTTACAAGTTTTGAATAATTAAAAAAAAAAAAAAAAAGATTAATTTTAGTTTAACCTAATTTTAAAATAGTTTACTGTAGATTTACTGCTAGATAAGCTTTGGGCCACACAATCTTAAATATACTGAATGGACCAATCCATTCAGCCAAACCTCACAGCAACACAACTGATACAGTATGTAGGATTTGCTATAATCTTTTCTTTGTTAAAACAAAAATCCACACTGGCTAAACATGTATACAACTTCTTTCAAAAATTTTTTTTTTTTTTTAACTCTCAGCAATGCTCTCTCTTTATTTATTTATTTGTACCTTATCCTAAAGAGAGGGTAGTTTGATACACTTTTCTGTTTAGAAAGCAGAAATTTCTATTCCACGCTTAAGTATTACATGATGTTAGCCTATTTAGTTTTTGTAAGCTTCTTCATGCAGTCTTTGGCTAGATGTTAAAAAAACAAAAAAAAAAAAAAACACTTATTGTAACGTCTGTAAACAAAATTTGTACTTTTAACATTAAAACAATTTGTCTATTCCCAAAATAATCACATTTTACAATCAGTTAAGAAGAGAAATATTAAAAATTCCAAAATTATTATCTGGGTCATCTAACAGAAAAGTCTTAGCACTTTGCTCAAGATTAAATTTGAAAAGAGGATGTATGTAATCTCAATCAAAAAAATTAAAAAAGAGAAATTATATGAATTTGAGAGTTATAAAAAAAGAGGATGTTTAGAAAGAAAAACTTATTGAGGCACAAATTCACTGCACTAGCAAATTGGTCTGTAAAATGATTTGTTTCCTATTGCACGCTGTTCAAAGAGGGGATCTTTATAGTTGCCAATACTAGTGACAATGGCACTAAGATAGGGGTTTATTTCTCAAAGACATTCAGGCAAGCTTATTTGACATGGAAATAGCTTTGGGCGTCTCTGTGCCATTATTCTTATACCTCTTCCAAATTTACATACCTGGAAATTTTCTTTCATCCACAATGATTGGTTCAAATAATTTTCTTTTTCATAATCATCTATTGCCTGAGAAAAGAGAGATCAAGACAAAAGGTAATGAAAAATAAATGAAGAAAAAATTATTCAGCATAAAGAAAATTCACTTTTTTTTTAAAATTCTTTGTTAAATTAGGATAGTGATAGAATGATTATATATATGAGATAAAATTATTTGGTAATCCGTATGGATAATTCCAAAGAGGATATAGATCCAAGCAAAAAACAAGATATTAAAACACAAATTCAAAATGGGGGAAAGGAAAAAGAAAGGAAGAGAAAGGAGGAAAAAACAGAGATATGTCTGTCTAGTGAGATATAGGAGAGGAGTAACATAGAAGATGAAACAGTAGTGGTTAAAAGTAGACCTCTTTCCTCTTTTTCACAGGATGTGGGAAGTGGAGAGAGTATATTCAAAGGAAAAAGAAAGGAAAGAGGAAAAAAAAAAAAATCACACACTATATATATATATATCATCAATTAAAAGTTTTACTGGAGACACAGATGCTGTTTTTGCAGCAGTTGTTGTAAAACTTCATTTTGGGACAAGATAGTCACTGAAAAATGGATTTATCATGAGTATCCAGACTTATGTAAATCATGTCTTTATCCAAGATAGGAATCTAGAGTGTGGAGACATTCTCTTCCATGGTTGGGAGGATTCAAAGGAAATTCATTTAAAAAAATAATTCAAAATTTTCCATCTTAAAACTTGATAACTGAAATACCAGAACTCTAAACTTCTAAAGAGCAATGTTTGAACCCAGAATGAAATATGTTGATTGATTCATTTTCTAAAGCATATCAATTCTTTGCAAGTTATTTAAAGTCAGAAAATATTTTTAGAATTTTTTTTTTGGTAGGTAATGATTTTGTGAAATAAGTCCTACTAATTCACCCATAGCTGGGGAGAGAAGAGGTGGAATCATAGCTTTACCAAGGATACTTGTGCATAAGTCAATACAATGAACCCAACTGGAACTCGGCTCTCTGATTAACAATTCCAAGCCATTATCCATTAGACCACCAGTACATCCAAGCTTACAGCACCTGGCATTCCCAAATGGCCACCCATCTAGGTACTGACCAGGCTCAACATTGCTTAACTTTGGTGATTATATGGGAACCGGTGTTTCTTTGAAATTCTCAATTGTCTCCTTAAAATAATACTCCCTATATTATACTTTTGGCAAACTTGGATATTTATACCTGCAAAAAAAGCAGTATCAAAAAAGACAGTTTTCCTATTGACACTTATTTTAAATACCTCCACTCCTCAGCAATGTTTGTTTTAAAAGGTGATGATTAGAATTGTAATAAAAAATATGATGAAAGTGAATTTATACATTTTCTTTTTCTTGAGAATTGACAACAAAAATAATAAACACTATTTATTAGATTCTTTATTTACACTATCACATTGTTCATTGGAATGGTCAGCAAAACATTGACTAATTGATTCAAACTTTATAAAATGGTAAATAAAGATTTCTTCATAATTGGTTCACATATTTTAAACTAGTAAATGAAAATACTGCATTGCATTAGTTAATTCAATTGTATTAGTCTTTAGAATGTAAATATAAAATTGTTCTTGTAAATAATTTAATAAATAGGGTTTAATATTTTGTTGTCAATTCTCAAGAACAAAAAAAATGTATAAATTCAATTTCATCATATGTTTATGTTTCAAACATTGCCAAGGAGTGAAGGTAGTTAAAATAATAGCAGTATCAATGGAAAAAACATCCTTTTGACACTCCATTTTTTTTGTGGGCACAAAGGTCAAGTCTGCCATAATTTCCCTCTGTAAATGTATGCCATCTGCTGCAGACAAAGTCAACAATACACTAGCCATGGTCATTTGGTTGTCAACCATTTAGTCATAGTTAGCAAGCTAGTCTTACTGAACATTGTTTATGGAAGGAGTTGATCCTCACTGGTTATCCCAACTATTGTGGCCTTGTGCCAGATTAAACCCAGACTTTTATGTATATACTGTGTAGAGAGAATTATCAAGCTAGTCTTGTAGACCATTCACTAATGAGAACCACCACTATTGTAGACTAAATGAAGTTAAACTACAAAAGCAGATACTAAAATAAAACTCTTCTGCCATTATATATTTTTTTTAATGCCATGTTTTTTCAGGATGTCTTTCTCAAGAACATTTATGTCAAAATTAATGCAACTGACTAGGTAGGGATTTGAACTGCTTGTTGAAGCCATTTTTCAACGAGATTATACTTTAGAATTTATGTCGGAAACACATGGTATGTTTGCAGCTAAAGACTGAAATGAGTGCTACTTACCTCCCACTGGGTCTTTCCACATTTCATGTATTTCTTGATTAAGTGAAATTTTTCTTCACGACCATACTCTTCACCCTTAATAGTGAATTTCCATATCCATCGAACATACCAGGCTAAGTATCGCAACAGATAATATGGGCTGAGTACCAACTGTATCCATAAGACATCTGTGATCTGTGGTTTACTAAAGCCTCCACTATAACAAGAGATGTTTAAAAAAAAAATCAGATTTCTAAAAATAAGACACTGTAATAAATTTTAAAGTAAAAAAAAAAATTCCAGTTATTTAAACTCATTTGTTGAGTTAAGATTAAGATGTTTCAACTGATAAATCAATGTTCATTAAATGATTTGTGTTCAGAAAGTTGATTATTGTCTTTATTTTAAGAGAATAAATGTAACTTTAAAAAAAAAAAAAAATTCCCATTTGTTTTTTTTAGTTCAAGAAATAGTTTTACAATAGAATTTTCTTTGTAGTTTAAGTTATAATCTAAAACTAAGAAAGAAAAGAGAAATTTAAATATTGTAACTATTGAAAAGGTATGAAGAAAGAAAATGTAAAGGAATTAAAAAAAGTCAACAACTGAGAGAAATATGACAGCAAGCAGGCAAACATTAGCATGGATGTTCAAGCTTATGCAAATTTACAAAGTTAAATAGTTTTTGATAATATCAGTATCTCTCAGGGTTTTGGAATACTAAACATTGTTTTTTTTTTTTTAAATTTTAGTATAGGCGCATTTGTTCTAACCTATAAGCATAATGAATAGGAATTATTTAAGCAGGAACCTCACTAAAACTTCATTTGCTTTGTAAAAGTTAAAATTAAAAGGAAATACAACAATCATACCAAAGAAAATCAAACATTTTCAAGTCAAGGTCACTTTATTTAAAATAAATAGAGAAGCCAACCAACCTCGAGAGTTAAGCAAAAAGAAAGGTTTTAATACAAACAAGTCAAATTCTGCATTTTGTGCACCCAGCAAATTGATAATATATATTCATTTCCTTTATCTCTTAAAAACAAAACCTAAAGTTGCAATGTATAATTCAAAACTACTCACTGTAATGAAACAGAGCAGTTAAGATTTTGTAAATGTCTGAATTGATAAAATGACAATGTCCAAATCAAAGGCCAAACTTTGTAAGTTTAAAATTGGAGTATTTTTTTTATTATTTATTTCAATCATAAAAATGGAAACATTGTAGTAAAAACACACAAAAAAAAAAAAAAAAACAAAAAAAAAACAACAACATTTGTGTATTTGTGGAAGTTGGGACAGATTTTCATTTTCAATTATTCATAAAATATAATTCATTAAAAGAAATTTGGTTCATATAAAACCAAATTAACTTCCTGTTTTTAATTAAGTTTTCATGACCCAAAATGGCAGTACAAAAATTAGCTGACAAGTAGGCAGATGAATTATCAACAGTCCCAGGATATACATGTCAAATAGAAGCCAAAGAATTGAAAAGAGGTCAGAAAAGTTGAAAATGGCCTTCTGTTTATGGGTATGTTGATCAGATTATGACAAATGTGCACCTAAGAAGTTGTGGTTTTTTTTTTGTTTTTTTATTACTGGCAGGTGCATTGAAAACCAGGACGTTAAGTAGATATTTTCTCAAAATAAATTTCCCTTTTTTTAAATATACAATAAAAACGCAACTTTGAAAAGTCACTGTATATGCTTTTATTTAAGATTAATTTTTTTTTCTACTGCTTAGGAAAATTAGAGCTTATTTTATTTGTTGGCTCAAGTTAATTAAAAACACTTTCAAAAATATTGCTTACCACTTCTATAATAAAAACATATATAATTCTACAGTATAATCATTCACAATGCACTTATACTATAAATATGATAGGTGCTAAAAAGTTATTAACTTGACCTACTTTTCCAAATGTGAACAATTGACAAAATGTCAATTTATTTTAGGATGCCTTCTTGCTCAGACAAATAACTTTCTAACACTGCCTTGTATATAAAAAAAAACCTTATTTTTCAGTAATGTTTGCATTAATTAGTGATCAATGACAATGCATTTCTGTATTGATGAATGTTCATAACATACACACTACCTCTGACATTCTTAAACACATCAGGTTTTATTATTAGAATCTTTTTTTTTTTTTTTTTGCTGAGTGACAATGACAGTGATCTTCAGAGTTTGGATAAAAGCCAGTTTGTTCTGTATGGATGTAAACAAATGGGAGCCATTTATATGAAGTATCCTGAATTTTGAAATCACATAACAGCCATGTTGCAAGTTTGAAACTAAAATGGACTATAAAGCCAATCTGATGAATAAAAAGAATGTTTAAATAACTTAAGAGCTTGCAAAAAGTAAAACGATGCTGGAAATTGCAAATATGATCGGCAGGTACCACCAAATCTTGAAGAAGTTGGAAGATCCATGACAACTCTAATCAAGGTTTGATATGAGATAATTGAGGGCTTCCATCAATCTGTGTCTCATATTAGAAAAACAAGTTATAAAAAATGTCATTGTCAACCAAAGAATTTTTTTTTTTCTGAAAAATACCATGATATTTTCAATGAGCCTAACAGATGGAGCAAATGGTAAATGGCTCCTGACAGAAAACCTTCTCAAAAGTTGAGAAGTCAAGATGGTAGAAGTAGTGTGAGGTTTTGCAGGTGGTGAAGTTATGGGCTCACACAAACATTGAATTTTTGAAGGCACATGTGGTGCCATATTTCAAGAAACCAAATGTTTTCAAAGAATTTTATGCACAACAATATTCCATCACATTTGGCAAAGAAAACACAGTTATCTGAATAAAATGGATTTCAGTGATACTTATTTGATGAAGTGGTCAATTTCTTTGCCAGAACATAACTTGAGAACTTGTGGTGTATTTGGAAGAAGGTTTATGTTGGTGGACAGTAATTTGTCTGGAAAGATAAGCTTTAGTATGCAATTCTGGATATTGCCTGTTTCATATGAAGAGATACAACTTAAAAAACAATGCCTAAGTTTTTTTTGAGAACTAGTTCCAGAAAATGGAATATATACTTAATGTTTTCTTTATAACTGTGTCATCATTGGAACAGCACAATTTTCAATAATTTTACTTTAAGAAATGTCTGTAAACTTTATGCACAATAATTTTTAATATTTCTTGGAATTTGAGTAATCTGTTTAATATGAAACTTAGAAAATCTGGTAAAATTCATAAATTGTTGCTACATCATAAGAATGACATGTAAGCTAGCATAATTTATATGTAAGTGAAATATCTTGCATATTGTGCAAATATTTCCATCAAACCTTCCATTAGTTTTCTTAAAATAAAAATAAAAGCAATTAATAATGTGAGACAGTGAAACGGTCATATTCTTTCAGAAATGCATAAACTCCTGACCATTGACAATAAGGCTTTCTATAGTCAAATTATTTGCAATGTACTTTTAAAGTAAAGCAATAGATTTTAGATTAAACAGTGTCTTGAAGTAACTGTTTAATCAGTGTGCTGAAAAGCTGAAAACTTCATTGCATATACAGCATTCAAATATAACCAAGATTAAAATACAACCATGACTTTTTTTTCCTTCCCACTGTATATATGTAATGTTTAAAATGAATTTAAGTTCAATAAATCCTATCCATGATATCAGGTGATACATAGTTTGTCTTAATATTTCTGGTTTGGGATGTATGGCTATGTCAAAGTGACAAACTCTGAGTTGCACTGTTTTTACATGGCTAAAGGCCCCCAACTACCCTGTTTATTTACCTATAGCTATAGAGGAAACAAGTGGAGTCATTCTTTTTCTAAGGGTATTAATGAGAAGTGAATAGTAATGATCCTAACCAAAACTCAGTTTGTCAAATCTATCTTCTATGCCAGTAACCATTACACCAAAATGTTAATATCGAGTCATTTATTAAGCTTGACTTAGTCTGGTACAAGGCTATGTAACAAGATACTGAAGGAGGAGAAAACTACAATCAAAGTAGCTTCCAAAACCAGCTTACTAAGGATTACGATTGGTTAAAGCACCAAATTTAAGAACACACATTAAAAAAAAAAAAGAGTCTTTCTTGAAGGATAGTAATTTAACTGTTGTCTATTCAAGGTTAAAGAAAAATATTTTATTAAAACTTACAATACAATGAATCTGAAAAGTGATTTCAAGAGAAACTTGACTAGAACAAGTCAAATTTTAAGAGTTTATTGTCCCATTTCTATAAATTTTGACACACATAAGGAAAAAAAAAAGTCCAGCACATCTGGCAAAATGCTCCATTTAGATTTGCCAATTGCCCTTGTTTCATTACTTCTGATCAACCAACAGGTGGTGCTTTTGTCATTTCAAGGGAAACAAGCTGTTTCTATTTGACATTTTCAAAATAACTTATAAAAAGTTATAAGAGTGGTTTTGACAAAAAATATGTAATTGGCTCATGAGGATTTTGAAGACAAGCACAGAATCATCCTAATTATTAGGTTTTTGTGCACTTTTGCCCACATCAAATCAGGATAGCTTTTTCTTAAAGCCTTGTAACTGCAGATAAGATTGAATGAGGTCTAAGGAACAGAATTTCTCATATCATGCATAATCTATTGGGCACAAAAGGCAAATAATGCAGTTAAAATATTTTATAAAACAAAAATCCATACATACCGAATATCCATTTTCTGTTCAACAACTTTTCTAATTATGGCTTCTTCTTCTTCTCGTATTTCTTCCTAAAAACGCAAAGCCATTAAAAAAAAACAAAACAAACTTTAAAGAAATTTGTTTAGGATTTGTACAAAAGATTTTGAAGTGTTTTCAATATGCTAATAAAGAAAAAAATATTCATTTAACTAAGCAGGTGATGTGGTGTATTCATAAGATTTTATACAAACTATTAAACTGAGCTGAGATTAAAAAAAAAAAAAAAATTAATTAAATATTTCGTTCTTGGTATTATTAGGGGGTGTACCTTTTTTTTTTATAGGCCTTTACTTCAAAACTTATTTCATGTATACATCCTAAGACATTAAATTTTAGCTATTTACATGTTTATGTTAAATGTAATAGATGTGTGTGTGTGTGTGCACATTTTATATATATATATAAAAAGGGAGAGATTATTATTGTACCAATGAGAGAAAAAGTGTATATTTCAACGAGAGAAAAAGCTGCAAACATTTTTGATTATAATGTGGGATTATTTTAATATACTTTATTCCATATATTTTTCTACACAGGTTTCAAGTCTTATGATCTTCATCAGGCAAAGAATAGTTATTTCCACATTATTTAAAGGAATGGATTTTTTCTTCATATGTTATATCTTTTAACCACTGTCTTTTATATGTAGTAGTAGTAGTAGTCATCTGAATCCATCTCGGTCTGGTTGAAAAATGTTCCTTTGCTTGAAACACTCAAAAGATGCTGGCAGCTTTTTCTCTCTTTAAAATATATATATATATCTCAATACTATTCAGTTGTACCTTTGGTAGATACAAGATTATATCAACTTTGAAGTATTATCTTAAAATGGGCCCCAAAGCCACTGATAGTGCTTGCAGAATTCAGGAAGTGCAACAAAATGCAACTTGGTGCTTCAAATGCATGGTAGCCATGAATTCAACTGGCACCATTTGAAAACATTCAAGATTTTGGCTCACTGGAAATATGAAGTGCATTAGATAAAAAAAATAAATAAACAGGAGTTCTTGAGAGGTTAGAAGAGGAAAATACTTTCGATACAGCTGAGTAAAATATTATTTAATATTAAAATTAAAACAGAGTAAAAAAAATTATTAGGATTTTGCATTGGCTTCTAACTTCCTGAATTGTACAGTGCTAAAGAATGATTTTTTTTACAATTCAATTTGTACATGGCAGTGCAACTAGACATAGCCAATGCATAACAACTGAACTGAAAAAGCAAGTGTTCATAATGAAAATAATGGCAATATGTTAGCCAATCTATAATCAGGAGACTGCACTTACAAATCTAGAGACACACACATTACACGAGGTTTATTACAGATAGGGTATGAATTTGACATCTATGGAAAACAATTTTGTTCTTTAGGATTTTTTAAAATCTTTTAACAAAGCAAGAGAGTGGGGGCAGGGAAAAAAAAAGACTTTAATCTGCAGGAAAAATATTTTATAGATTCCTGTAGCTACTATACATGATGGCATTTAAGACATAATTATACACACACACACACACACATATATATATATACAGTGTGCAATGGGTAAATTGTCGCCATTTTATATTTTTAATTTGCCACATGCGTGTTGATTGTTTTAGATTTTATCGACCATGATGTAATTTATTCTGCCAGAAATTTGGAAACAACATGCTATACTGCCTGGCATTTGTGCCAGAAACTCCAATATGAACATTTCAGGACAATCTTAGGACAATGCAGAAGATTCAGAAAGAGTTGGATGAGTCTAAGGGTGATTACGAAGGTATGGCAGCTCGGAAAACTCAATCTGATTGTTCTGATAAGAAAAGAACTCCCAAATTTGTTGGTGTGGGCCTCAAATTCAACACTGAGGCCTACATCAAGTACCTTGAGGAGGTAGTGCTGCCTTGGGTCAAGAGAGTGGCTGCTGGAAGATCCTATGTTTGGTAACAGGATTTTGCACTATGCCACACAAGCAAAAGAACTCAGTCATGGCTGTCAGACAATTTCTGTGACCCCATCACCACTTACACCTGGCCACCTAACTCCCTAAAACTGCAAACCCATTGATTATTATGTGTAGGGTGCAATTGAGCAAGAGACCAACAAAACTCCTTGTAATACCAAAAATGAACTGAAAGCAAAGATTATGGCAGCATTCGCCAATTTAAACAAGGAGACAATCCAGAAAAGTTGCAAGAAATTCCAAAGTTGTCTGGAGGCTGTGGTTGAAGCCAATGGCAATTTTATTGAATAAATTTACTCTTTAGTATTTCAAGATATTTTTGCTGTAATTTTGGTAAATATCTCTTAAAATAAGATGCCAGTGTTATTTTCATTTTTGCATAATTTACAAGACAATTATCCCTTGCACTCTGTGTATATATACATATGATATTTAATACACACAAAGTCAACGTGACACCAATAACTAGCGTATAAATTAATTGCATTAAACTTAGTATAAAGATGAGAAAAATGATAGTCTGAGAGCTGGATTTGAGGTGCTGAATATAGCTTTAATCAGTTAAATGACAAATTTTATGTAGGATATTTAAGAACAGCAATAAAAACCAAATGTGTTTGGAAACTGAATGTAATTGTTTGAACTGTTATATCTCAACAAATCAAATACCATAATTTTAAAAATATAGCAGCTCTATATATTCAGGGTTTCCTCTTAGTGCATAATTATAACCGACAATTTCATTTATATTCCCTCTACATATAATTTCATCAATAAAAACATTATTTTAATCTTATGAAGTCCTTTTAAAGGATGAAAGGTGTAAGAATTGTTTCATTTGTCATTCAATCAATCAACAATGTTCTGATATGCAAAAATTTATATATATATATTGGGGGGAGATATCTTGAAGGTTAATGTTTACTTAAATGCCATAGGTTGCAGACTACTAATACACATACCTAGCCTAAGTTTATAATACTTACTTCATTAAATGCAAATGTCGGGGAGGGTCTTATATGCCAGCAAATGTGGTAATAGCTTGGTAGAAGTGAGTGAGCATCAATATGGTCATATAGTTCAAATACACCTCCCCCAACAAACAGTGCTCCATCAGAATCAATTGCTTACTTTTTTTCTTCTGTCTTTCCTTCGATTTGTATTCAGCAGGCCCTCACTTTTGGCTATTTCTGTGGCTCGTATCCGATATTTTGGCTCTTTAGATAAATGTAAAATGGCAGTGTTGTAATTGTTCCATGCATTTAAATACTAGAGAAAAGAAGAAGGATTTCAAATTATCACACAGAAAAAAGAAACATACACAGGGAGGGGAGAATTAATCTGTTCAACTGGTTGGCAGAGGCAAAAAAGAAAGAAATTTTCTAGTCCTCATCAATTTTACAAAACAGTAATTAAACTATAATTATTGAATATTTGTAACAAAATAACAAAATATCAAAAAATAAATTAGACATATTAATTCAAAATTTAAATAAAACATCTTATCATATAGTTGAAATATTGCTCAAATTTAAAATTTCAAATTTCTTGATTTGGGAAATATTTAATCTTCAAATCTCCATTGTAATACCCTGTGAGTTGCTTGCTGTTCTCAGGAGTAAGACTTTCATGCTGTTTATTGAGTAAATGTTTATACTGAGAAAAATCTATGTTGGTAACAGGCATCCAATATGATCCTATTGGCAATCTGTTTCAGAAGAGGAAATCTGCTCTTATTTGCATTCCAAAATGATGGGATATTAAAAGGATTTGGTAAATCATCTTGGCAATTCACATACATTGGGAATCCTTGAAGAAGATCAGTAGAAGGTCATTACAATTACTTGATGGCTGAAAAACTGTCTAAATCATGACCAATACAGGGTAGCTGTCTAAGATCAAACAGGCAAGCTGCCTTGTACAAGTTATACATGGGGTGGGTATCCAGGCATTTATTCAGTTTCAAAAAAGATGTGCTAAAAAATATTTGGAAATTTGAGATAACTCTCTCCCTGTATGTTTTCTAGTTCAGACAGAAGACAATCAGTTTCTAAGCCAAATGTTGAAGTTGATGTACCAGTATGCAAATACTATTTTACATCCCCCATCATGTTATATTCAAAATGCTGTGGTCATGACAGTTGTTTCATCTGTTATGATGCTGACTGACTGATTAGCAAGCTAGGCTTTCAGGGTAGCAAAATGACAAGAAACAATTTTGGTAGATGAAGTTGCCTAACACAATTGACACTTGGAATAGCACCACCTTCTTTACAAAGTTTTAATATGCATGGCCTCATTTTGTCAATTTTGTGTAGGAGAATGTCAAAGTGCACATTTTCAAAAAATCAAGGTCAAGTGTCAACACTATGGAGACAGAATTAAATAACATTTTCTTCTGCATAAAAGTTATCACGAAATTGCTCTAATCTGGCCTTACACAAATTTTAGATACTGGGATCATTTTCTTTTTTTTTCTTTTTAGAGAAGCAGACCCAACTTTAGAGCTTGATTCAATATATTGACTTTATTCAGTCATCTTGGCAATTTGTTGCTTATTTATACAACTGGTTTAGATTACAAAATATAATTAAAATATGAAAAAAAAAATAGTCATTGATAGTTAATATAATGAAAGGAATTTTTTTTGTTCAATTTAAATTTGTTTACAATAGTGAAGCATTGAAGATGATGCAATTTTTAATCTAGGAGAATCTCTGTGTGATGGTAAGCTTAGACAAGCCAGTCGTTTTATAGAATGGTGTTTTTGAAGAAATTTTTTCTTTTTTTTTTTTATTCTTTCTAAATTATATCATAGTATTTACTTTTCTTTTATATTCATAAAACAAGTTGTTTAAATTGTGTGAGACCTTCAAGAAAATGAATTTGTTAAACTTATTGGTTTGATCTTCGTCTTTCTTTCCCTCCTGGAAAATTATTGAAACCCAAATTTAATGTTATGTCTTCAACTTCTTTAATATTAGAATTAATAACTACACTAAGACCAAAAGATTTAAAAACACTATGCATTAAATTTCTAAGTATATCAACCTTATTTCCAGTAGGTTCATATACAATCATGAGTCAATCATCTCTACAAAGCCCTACACTATTCAAATCAATATCTTTACATGCAGAAGCTGGACAATAAGAATAATCCAACTAAGTCCAAAGACATTGCAGAATCCAAAGATTCTATATATATATATATATATATATATATGTATGTGTGTACACATATGGTGCTGTATTTGAATTATGAGGGTCAAGCAGCTCAGTTCCCAGGAACAAACAGCCCAGAACATGAGATTTGATTATAGTAGTGAAGGCTTTGTGCAGAATGAACAACACTTTTTGAAGGGTTGAATAGAGAGATGGTGGACAACGTGCCACAAGGTCTCCAAACAATCTTCAACAATTTTGAATTTGGAGTTGTCCTTCGCCTAGACAAATAGACATGCAAGGCTACAGAACACAGTGTGTCCGGCTAATTACCCATAGCTGGAGGGTGAAGAAGAGGATTCATACCTTTCCCAAGGGTAATACCAAGTAAGCAATGTAATGGATTCAACAGAAATTTGAACTCAGCTATCGGAACCATAAGTAGAGGTGCACCTCCACCATGCCTCAAATAGTAAAATATATATATATATATATATATATATATATATATATATATATATATATATATGGTGGTTGAAAAGTAACTCCCTATTTTATGTATGATGAACTCTATTGTCCTGACCAATAAAGGGTGGGATGGCTTTATTTCTTTAAACCTTCATTGTTTCTTCTTTGTTCTGCCACTAAATGCTTAACACAACAATTGTGATAACAACAACAAAGATTAATTAACGATCCTACACTAGGGGGAAATGCTCCCCCTAGTGTAGGATCGTTAATTAATCTGAAACTTTTTAAAACCATTTATTTTATTTTCAACATCATCACTTGAGAAGACACAGAATGTGTTGAAACAAAATGGCTATTTTTGTAGTGATCTTATAACATACTTATGTTATAATTTTTTAAAAAAATTTAATTTTATATATATATATATATATATATATATATATATACACACATACATACATACAAAACTGGTGTATGTATCATGTTTTATGGGTACATGTGTTTGAGTAAGCATTCCTGCTTGTAAACATTGGAATTAGTGTCTACTGACTTGGATACTGAAAGTCTTCAAAGTCACATACTTTTTTTTTTATTTTGATCTCTAAGTTAGTAGACAATTTTTTTGATTAAAAAACAAGAATGTCGTGTACCCATTAATTATAACGTGTGTGTGTGTGTGTGTGTGTGTGTGTGTGTGTAGAATGCAGAAATTTGTAAAAAGAATGTTTTAAGAAATTGGTATGCATTCCAAGGTTTTCTTACCATCAGAATTTGTTTTTTTTTTTACTCAAAGAAATGAAGTTTAGCAGTCAGTGATAAATTGTTGACATAATTCAAGTACAAATACAATTGTGATTACTGCTTTATTTTTAACCTACTAGCATAAATTGTTATGTAACAATATACACAATCATTTGAGTGAATGGAAATGTTTATGTATTAGTCCTACCCATGTTATCATGGTTCACATTAATAGTAATAAAAATATTCTCTATAAAATCTGAAATGTATTGCAGGGGTGAATGGTCTAATGGTTAGTGGCCCAGAAAATAGAAATCACAAACTGAACTCCAGTTTCACTAAAGCCATTATAAAAGCATGAAAAGATAAGTAAATAGCACAGTCCTTTAGGTACTTAAAACAGGGTACTGGACACACAATTTGTCCATGTAAAAATTTTATTAAAACTAATAAAATTGCAGCAGTAGCACTTCAGAATGTGTCTGAAGGAATAAATAAACAAAACAAATTAATACCACCAATGTTAAAATGATTTATGTAAACAGATAAGATAATATTCTCAGTAAAAAGTAGAATGGTGGCTGAGGTCTTTTTCTTTTAACAACTGATGACTAATCTTCCAAAAGATGAAATTTGAGTTTTCTTTGCCATATGACTTATTTTAGATGCAATACATTTGGAGATTTATTTGTTTTTTGGGAGTAAAAATGGTATTTATCATAAGCCAACATAAAAAATACAGTAAATCTAGAATCCATGCTTTTTAGATTATTTGATTAACAAAGAAAGTATAATATATGGATATTGAATGAAGATTTTGTGTTATTACTATATTATATAGTTTTGGTTGCAGTAAATTTGTTGTTATTTAATTGAAACCTACCTGAATAATTGATATGACTGAAATGGACACAGCAATGACAATCCGAACATCCACTTTGGGTGCCATTGTTCTCCGATAATAATAAAAATAATGTGAGTAATACTCCTCTGAAAATAAAACAAAGTTCCATTTAGAGAAAAATATAAAGTCAAATGAAGAGAATGGTTAAATTCAATTAGTATTAGTTTTTGATGAATTGATGTCACAATGCAGTAAAATCAATTATCAAGCAAATGAATATTTCAATGATACACATCCTTATATACAAACTATAATGGGACATGTAACTAGATTTGAATCAACCTATTTTGTAATGTGCTCAAAAACAGATTCTTTGATCTGAACTTTACAGTTCTATACTGTTTTTATTATTATATTATGTGGATGGATGGAATGAAACAATGGTCATTATTTTGCCATCAGTTGATTAAAAATTCACTAGAAGTTTTACTAAGAGTTAAGGTGCAATGATAAAAATAGCATTAAATTTAATTGTTTTTAATGAAATGATTTCATAATAGTTTCATACACTACTTCAGATATTTCACAATAAAACTGGCATTACTCAAAAAATGTTCATTATAATTTTAAGGATATACTTATGACAAATTTACCATGCAAATTTTATATCTCTTTATTATGTGACACTGGAACCTCAGGAGGGTTAATCAAACCAAAACATGTAAGAAGAAGAAAAATAATGGAAGGAAGAAAGAGTCTACTAACTGGATGATAATTGTCCAAGTTCACAAGAAGATGGATTGAAAAGTTAAGAAAATTAAAAATGAAATGGGATGAAAAATTGTATTTCAAAATAATAAATGAAATCCTGAACAGTTTTAAGGACAATCAAACCCAAATCTAACTAGATTTAATTCAGTAACATTGAGCACGACCAAGAATAACCATCCTTCCCCACCTCTTACCGATAAGAAAGTGTATCCTTGAATATGTCAAATAGAAAATGTTGCCAATAAGGAAATCCAGGCAGTCACTGAAATAACATTTACGATTCTTCTGGACAAAGAGCCAGCTAAAACATCTGGTTTGAATCAGCCACCCAGAAGAAAAATATCCCTACAAAAAGAGATTAGCCTGGCTAGTTTTACTAGCTTGGAGTGACTATAGGCAAAAAGACTGTGTGGTCTTGTTGACTGAGAAACATATAAACAGAGAAAGATAATCTTTTTTTTTTTATTGAGAATATTTTTCTTTTCCAGCTCACACAAGAACTCTTCAGATTAGCTGACAGTGGGAGGGTGCATCTGGATGGGCTCTGAGCAAGTTCTTGGCTTTGGGAAATCACAGCATGAGACAGGCTGATAAAGAAAGATTAATGACTGAAAATCTCCTTTTTGCCTGTGTATTCTGAAAGATTGGATTTGTCACAGGGATAGTGTGCTGGCCTTTGGTGTGGGATGAGGTTAGATGTTGAGAAAGTAAGAGGAGAGAGAGAGAGAGAGAGAGACTAGCACTGCCTATATGGAGTGATGGCGTGAGATGAGATGTGAAGGGAGTTGGAGGTAATGGACAGCTTAAGTCCTATGACCACACACTCCAAAAGGGAGCTAGACAACCCCTAAATTTGGAAAAATCAATCTAGTAAACATATTTTGAAAACATGGAATTTTAGAAAAAAGTTGAGGCTGAGAGTGAAAGATAACCAAACCTGGACCCTGGCCAACGCAGGACTCCATATAAGCTGAAGGTTTTGGACAACTTAGAGTCCCCACATTACTGCTACTGGAATCCATATCGTTCACCAAGATCTCCTGACCAAAACCTTGTGCCAGCCCTTAAGACCGGAACTTAGGAATTTAAATTACTACTGACATAAGCTGCAAACTCCAAAAGGGATTCCACTGTCATTTGATTATAACAGCAAGTGGGAATGGTTAAAACCACTGTATACAACAAATCATATATAAAACAAAATTGTTTAACATTTCTAATTAGAGTTAATTCTTTATTCCAAAGAATTCTTTTTTCTGTTGTTTGCTTCAATTTACTTCAGTGATTTTCTCATCCTCTCAGAACAAAAACACAACATGGCAGAAGAGTGACAGAGACAAATACCATCTAGTGGAACCATGCTCATCAACAAGATAACAGCGACAAATCAGCAATGCATTAATAGGCAAGGAGTCAGCTGGATAGTAACCAAGGTGGTCTGAAGAAACTTGAAAACCAAAGGAACAGGGTTACAGTTAGAAATATTTGCAATAACTTGGTGGGGGTGAGACTTTATTATGCAACTTGAGTGTTGTTCATAATATTGTAAATAAATATATATACTAGTAGATTTATTGACATTATTTTAAATTCTGATACATAAAGATTTGTAATAGTTACTAGTGTGGATTTTACAAACATATCCACACTTAGTAGATGGTTACAATGGGATTAACTTAATATAGGTACCTCCACGAAATCGCTAAAAAAAGAGCATAGCTTGATGAAAAAGACGCCAACCTTGCCGAAAACAAAATTTTATTGTCTAAATGCTTATGTTATTATTAAGAGGAAAGACCAAAGTTTTTTTTAAATTATTTTTAAAAAATTTCCCTTCTTTTTAGAACATTCTAAATTTTGATTAAAAAAAACCTTTTTTCTATTTGTATCAGCGGAACTAGTAAATAACAGACAATTTTTAGCACGTTTTTTTTGGTATGACACACATTAATTTGAAAAATCGTGCAAAAAATAGAAATAATTATCGGATGTTAATGAAACTTTCAGGAACTATTCACAGATGATCAAAATTATTATAAATATGTTTTTCTTTATGAAAGTCATGGTAGAAATATTTTTTTAAATATTTATTACCCCCCCATAACTAATTTTATGAAAACGCTAGAAATTCGATCGATCGGTTTTAGTGATTACAATAATTAAAAGCACAGGGCTTTGAGGAATGCAAATCATGTTTTTTTTTTTTTTAATTGGATCGCAGTACCTGAAAATCAGCTCTGAATTGTAACATACAAAACTCAATAAAACAAAGATATCATTTAATTTCAAATGCTTTTATTTGCTTTTAGTTGTTTTTATGAATATGGACAATATTTTCTGAAAGCAAAAAAAATTTTTCGATGAAAAATGAATTTTTAATACAATTATTTGTTATTTCATTAATTATAATACAAGTTGTTAAAATATTATAAAATTAGTTAAAAGCCGCATCGGCTTTCATAAGTGTCCTTATGAGATAGATCTTTTTTTAGTGCGTTGTAAATTGTATCATTTTGGCTAATCAGAAGATACCCAGTAATTAAGAAATGTAATTTTGTTCTTATAATCGAGCTGTAATTATAAAATACGGAAGACCAACCAGAATATAATTGAGTTATTTGAGTTAAGCATTGTTCTCCGCTGTTAAGGCCTTTACTTTTGCAAAACACGTGTGGAGAAGTTAATTTGATTTGTCAATTTCAACTGAGAAGGGTACCTACAAGTATCAGTATCATCTTATGAAATTTATATGATCTTATTTTTATATTAATCTCAGTTACGACATTTTTCCATAAATGAAATATCAAAATTAATAATAAAATGAATGCAAATACAAATAACAGTAGAATGTAATAAATGTACATAAAATTATAGTATTTTATGTACAATTCTGATAAAATTTCATAAGAAAGGTACCTATAAATTAATTAGATACCTTAAGAAATATGAAATTTAATGTTACTCTTAACAGTTTTATTTTAATTTCTTTACAATATATTTCCCATAAAGCATCATAAACGTAAAGGTGAAAGCTAAGTACAAAAAAAAAAAAAATTAGACCGCTGAAAGTTTTTCGTTAAAAAATAACGGGTAAATAATTTGTTCACGTAAATGTAAATTATTTCACTTTTCTCCTTCCGTAGAACAAATTAGCCTCATGGAATTCATAAATATATCATTCATCACATGTCAAGAGATGCGAAAGTTTATGACCTGCTTTGTTTTATTTTCAAATTACATCTTTTTGGCACAAAAGCTAAGTTAAGTTTGGTTCAAAATATTTTAAATAAACATTATAATTTCTGATTTTCTTAAAATGTTTTGAAAAAATGATAATTGATGTTTAAAAAAATTTCAAAGTCAGATTTCCAGTTTTTTTTAAAATGGAAAAAAATGGTCAATTTTGCTGACTCAAAAAAAACTAGATTTTTAACGAAAATTTCGGACTTGCTAGGAACGATTAAAAAAATGGAAAAAAATACCAAAAATACTTTGACCTTTCCTCTTAATAATAACAAACATTTAGACGATAAAATTTTGTTTTCGTCAAGTTTGGCGTCTTTTTCATCATGCTATGCTCTTTTTTTAGCGATCTCGTGGAGGTTCCTAACTTAATAGGTAAATGTGAAAAGCATATATAATTTTGTAATCACATTGTACTTATATAAAAAAAAAAAAAAAAAATAAAATCATGTGTTTAATACTTCCTGGATATTAAACTAAAAGTAAGATAAAAAAAAATGTTTCCCTGTTTCATCCCCATGCTATATATGAAAGCAATAAATGAATAATTTTTAATACACACATATTCATGCATATCTTACTTTAACAACTCATTTATCTACAGAGTCAATTACAATTTAAAAGTTCATTTAACACAATATTTCTAGTATAAACATATGGCAGTCAGTATTTTCAATTTTTAACTTTAAAAGTATAATTAAATTCTATGACATTGGAAAAGTCAATGGAGATGAGTAAATTGCTTACCAAGTTTAACATTATAATTAATGTTAAAGTTGATAAGCAATTGTCAGCAAAAGACTCCATTAAATGCAGATAAGCAGTTCACCCATCTTTGTATGGGTGACTCTTCTGGTGATATAAAAAGTGGTACATGCAAATAAATTAGACATACGCATTCACATGTAGATACATATTGAGGAGTACCAAAAGAAATATGAAGATGAAGAGAATTACCTGGGTGATCCAACATGTAGTTGTAATCATTTCTTTGCTCCTCATCTTTTAAAATCTATAAAAAAAAAAAAAAAAAAAAAATATAGCTTTTAGGAAAGCTGAACTTTGATAATTACATTATATAATCTACATTATAATCATTATATAAGCTGATCTTTGATAATTACATTATATAATCTACATTATAATCATTATATAAGCTGATCTTTGATAATTACATTATATAATCTACATTATAATCATTATATAAGCTGATCTTTGATAATTACATTATATAATCTACATTATAATCATTATATAAGCTGATCTTTGATAATTACATTATATAATCTACATTATAATCATTATATAAGCTGATCTTTGATAATTACATTATATAATCTACATTATAATCATTATATAAGCTGATCTTTGATAATTACATTATATAATCTACATTATAATCATTATATAAGCTGATCTTTGATAATTACATTATATAATCTACATTAAATCATTATATAAAAAAAATTACATTATATAATCTACATTTAATCATTATATAACTGATCTTTGATAATTACATTATATAATCTACATTATAATCATTATATAAGCTGATCTTTGATAATTACATTATATAATCTACATTATAATCATTATATAAGCTGATCTTTGATAATTACATTATATAATCTACATTATAATCATTATATTGATCTTTGATAATTACATTATATAATCTACATTATAATTTATATAAGATGATCTTTGATAATTACATTATATAATCTACATTATAATCATTATTTGATCTTTGATAATTACATTATATAATCTACATTATAATCATTATATAAGCTGATCTTTGATAATTACATTATATAATCTACATTATAATCATTATATAAGCTGATCTTTGATAATTACATTATATAATCTACATTATAATCATTATATAAGTTGATCTTTGATAATTACATTATATAATCTTCACCAAAAAAAAAAAAAAAAAAAATTGATTGTTACAGATGCTATACAAAACTTTAGATTGATTCATTCATTTTCTACAGCTTACCAACACTTTGCAGGTTATTTAAAGTCAAAAAATATTTTTAGATTGTACAAATTTTTTTTTGAGATAATAATGGTTTTAATGAAACAAGGCTTACCTAGTATTTGCATGTAAGTGAATATGACAAACCAACAGAAATTAGAACTTGGCTCTCCAACTAACAATTCTGAGCCATTATCCATTACACCACCTGTGCATCCAAGCTTACAGCACCTGGTATTCCTAAGTGCTCACCCATTGATGTTTCTTAACTTCAATGATCAAATGGAAACCAGTGTTTCAAGATGATGCGGATGTAAATCCTTCAAAACTTCAGAGAATTTAAACAAATTGATCAAGGAATCTGTCAAGTTATTCAGTGTTTCCTATTATTTTCTTTTTGGTTCTATATCGCACAAAAACATTCCATCTAAAAATTAAGAGCTTTATTTTCTATCAATTTTCCTTCTGAAAGAAAGTCATGTCTCCAAACTTTTAGTTGCAGTTTTTTTTGTCATGATCCAGTATCGTTAGTTGCTAGTATTTTTGGTTATTGCACTATGTTAGTTATCTTGTTTTTCCTTTACTGATCTCCGTCTCAGGACAATAATATATTAGGCAAAATTTCTGACAATATGGAAATGATGACTCCTCTCCATCAATCTGGGGACATTTTTGTATTTGATAATTTTAATATTTATCATATCAACTGGCTTAAACATTCTAATGCTGCTGATATCCAGACTTTCAATTTTTCTATTTCTCAGTCTCTCAATCAAATAGTGGATTTCCCTACTTGATTCCCTAATAAATATGATCAGCATTATTCTTACTGGATTTGTTCATTACCTCCTTTCCTACCTCTGGTCAAGGATCATAACTCTGTCCTCTTGGGGATTCATATCAAGCAATAGTATCTGTTGATATTTCTTTTGGATCATCTATTAGAAAGGAGCCTGCTATCAACAAGATTACAGTTACCAGCATACTAACTGGGATTCATTTTGCGACTTTCTTTGTGACACCTCTTAGATTGATATTCTTAACCTTCCTGATGAGAATTGTGCTACAGATGCTTCCTCTTGGGTTAAAACTGGCATCAATGCTTTTCAGAAATATCAGAGGAAACCACTATCTTCACCTTGGTTCTCACCAGCCTACAGGAATCACCTTTTCTGAGTGTACCAGTGTGATAGTTCCAATCACAACAGAGGCCTATTTGTTTCTACTCGTAATAATTGTAAACATGTCCTCATAGAACAAGGTATCATATAGCTCCTAACAAGTTTGGCTCTGATGACTACTGGCAGCTTTGTAATAGTGTCTTAATCTTTACCATGTTAATTTTTTTCTAGAATTGTTCCCACTACCACTTCATTTTTTTAAGGATGCAAAAACAAACACCTACTGTTGTAAAATTGTGGAAGACACCAGCATTTGTTTGGTTTTTCTTTCACCAGACAAGTATATTTATTTGCCTTGTTGAGAAATAAAGTTGTTATTTTGTTGTTTACGAATAGACAAAATAATTCACCTTTAGAAAGGCTATCAGGTATATAGATGGTTGCCAGTAGCTTCCATAAAATTAGTCAACCATGGATGGTAGTAACTACGAGTGGTCATCAGTAGTTTCCTCCACAGAGTGGTTATCATCTTCAACCACTACACCGTCAATAGCTACTTTAGTAAAGCCTTCAAAATCATCACCAGAATTCAATTCAAAGAAAAACTCCTGAATAAAGGCTTCGCTGGATGCTGATGTGGCCATTTAACAGATGACAAGTGTTTATTTATAGCAACTGTCTCAAGGTGACATAATGCACCTAGAGCAGCAAAGGAAGAGAATTCTGTGGTGACAATTTTTACCTCCAACATGGTAAAGGTAAAATAAGAGTAAGTCATCTATCCCTCCCTTCTTCAATTTGAGGTATTAACATGTGGTGAACAGCCCCGTAGAAGCAAGCGAGCCAGAGTGGCTTGCATCTGGTGTATAGGAAAATAAGGGTCTTAGCTTAATGTGCGGCACGTGACATCAGCAAGTTTGCTTTGTGAAAATGGCATTACTCTCCCATCCAGCCATTCTAGCAGTATGTGCAATGATGAGGGTTTTTTGTACAGTTTGGAATGCTTCCACTAATAGCAAGTCGTGTGCTGATTGGTCAAACTGGAGGAGGCAATTTGCCTGTGTAACTGAGAATAACAGCGAAGAACACTGATTGGCTGGGGAACTGTGGTGTTGGCCTGATAAAAGAGTGCTGGAGCCATGAAAAAGGGAGCAGAAACGTTGGTTATATGTAGTGACATGTGAAGAAAGCGAGGACAGTGAATTGAACCAGCGATATTGTGATTTGTACAAGTGACGTTGCAGCAATACAGACTTATTTAAGCTACAAGCTATTTCGGCATTTTCTCTAATCATGGCGGACAGAAGTTTCGATATCAGGCTGATACCTGAATTCAGTGGAGCTGCTACCGATCTAACAATTGTAGAATGGATTGAAAATGTGGAGTTGGTTTGCGAGATGAAGAAAGTCGAGCGGGTACTGCCACTGCGCTTGTAAGCCAGGGCTCTCTCTGTATATCGGCAACTGACAAAGGAGCAGAGGTCAGATCCAGAGCAGATTAAGCAGGCCCTTATAACTGCATATGTGGTGGATTCATTCACTGCGTATGATCAGTTTGTGTCACAACAATTTCGGCCAGGGGAAACGGTAGACGAATTTTTAGCAGAGCTGAAATGGCTAGCTTTGTTGGTTGGCGGCCAACTACCTGAACGATGGATGACGTGTGCCTTCGTTTCTGAACTGCCGCAACAAGTCAAGCAACTTCTCCGTGCATCATCCAGAATGAACACTATGACGTTGGACCAGATCCTGACTTGCGCTCGGCCGTTATGACCAATAGCAAAGAGCCGGATGAGTCAGTTGCCGCAGCAGCTCAACAGATGGGCGGCATTGTCTGCTTTAAGTGTTTTGGTCCCAACCACCTGGCAAAGGATTGCAGGCAAGGCTACTCGGAGAAGACAGATACACAGGACAGCGATTCTGAAGAGAGTGAGCGGTTAGTAAATTTGAGATAAATCCTGTTAGGAGAAACTGATCACTCGCTTGGTACTGAATCTGTTATAGACGACACAAATGGGGAAGACGACTCCCCAACTGTTAGCGTCCAAAATACTAATGTGGTACATCCAGCTATCTCCCCTGATGACAGTTCATCTGAAGATGAAGCTTGTGTTGCTCCACTCCCTCAGCGAAGTATCTGGCAAAAACGACCTGCTCGCGACTGTATGTTTTGTGATCATGAGATCAGGGGGGAGTGTGGTGAACAGCCCCGTAGAAGCAAGTGAGCCAGAGTGGCTTGCATCTGGTGTATAGGAAAATAAGGGTCTTACCTTAACGTGTGGCACGTGACATCAGCAAGTTTGCTTTGTGAAAATGGCATTAATCTCCCGTCCAGCCATTCTAGCAGTATGTGCAATGATGAGGGTTTTTTGTACAGATTGGCATGCTTCCACCAATAGAAAGTCATGTGCTGATTGGTCGAACTGGAGGAGGCAATTTGCCTGTGTAACTGAGAATAACAGCGAAGAACGCTGATTGGCTGGGGAACCATGGTGTTGGCCTGATAAAAGAGTACTGGAGCCGTGAAAAAGGGAGCAGAAACATTAGCTATACGTAGTGACGTGTGAAGAAAGTGAGGACGGTGAAATGAACCAGCGACATTGCAGCAATACAGACTTATTTAAGCTACATAACAACTACTGAAAAAGCAGAATCTTTTGTTTGTAAATTCTATTAAAATTCTACACTTGACTCACCTGGAGTATCTTTGCCTGACTTTTCACTTAGAATGAAGTCTCTTTTGAGTGATATGCATATGATGCTATCCATAGTTTTTGCTCTTATCGCTAAACTGGATCCAACAATGCATGTGGATTTGATGGTATCCCTGAAATAGTCCTTAAAAATGTACCCACTGCATTGGCTCTTGTTCTCTCTGAACTACAGTGTCTTGCTGATTCTTGCTTTCCTGCTTTTTAGAAATTCTTTCTGTTGTTTATGAACTCAAACCATTTATTGGCCTGTTAGCCCTCTACCTCTTTTTGGCAAAATACTAGTGGCTCTAATTAAATTGGTTAAGCATCCCATCTTACAGGGTCTTCTTTCAAATAAGCAATATGGCTTTCATTTCTCTAGGTCAACTGCTGATGTATTAATAATTATTGTTGAAACAGTTTATGAAACTTTAGATATCTTGTTGCTTTGGATATTTTCAAGGCATTTGACAGGGTTTAGTATACTGATCTACTTCACAAGTTGAAGGTTATGGTATTTCTGGACAAATTTTTGAACTGATTCAAATTGTGAAATGAAGGTTGTCTTGAACAGCCACTCTTTTAGATCTTTTTACATTAATTCAAGCACCCACCAGGGCTATATCTTTGGACCTACATTATTCCTAATTTGATGGTTTCAGTTCTCAACTCAGTATCTATGTTGATGACAAACATTTATTCCTGTTTTAATACTAAGCCTGGTTGGTTCAATAAGGTCAAAATGGCAACTGATCTTTAAAAAAAACCCAAAAAACCTGTTAACTGGGTAAAAAAAATGTCTTGTTAATTTTAATACCTCCAAAATAAAACTGCTTACTATTAATCATCTGAGAGAACCCTTTCTGCCTTCTATCAGTATGGCTGATGCTAACATTCAAGAGAGTGACTCATTGCGCCTTCTCAAACTAACATTTTCTGTTGATATGAAGTGGAAAGACTATATTGAATCAATTGTTATGTCTGCTGCTAGGAAAGTTGGTCCATGGTGTCATGCTGGACAATTTTTCTTGCCGGAATCTATCTTAAATTATTTATAAGTCTGATATTTGTCCATGCTTTGAATATTGTCTGGTGCTCTTGCTATATATTTAGAGATCCACGATAAAATCCAAAGAAAAATCTGGAATGTTATTGGTACAGACCTGGCATCTCGGCTTCAGTCACTTTCCCATTGCCGTAATGTAGCTGTCCTGTACCTTTTTTCATGCTAAATGTTCTGATGAACTTACCTCTAAGGTTTTTATGAATTTAAGTGCAGTACTAGATTGGTGGCATGGTGTCATTATTTTACAATTGAAATGGCTAGATGTAACAAAGTTTTATGCTAACAGTTTCTTTTCTTGCACTTCTTGCTTGAGGGACTCTTTTGGCTTCTTACTTTCTAGTCATGTTTGAGCTTCAAAAATGTACATGCAATGTCAAGCATTATCTTCTGTGTTTAATTCTTGTTGTTTTATTGTTCTCACTACTATATAATGCTTTTCTTTTTCTTATATTCTGTCAAACTCAGTAAACATCTGCATTTCAGTGGCTTCATTGCTTTGCTTGGGATGAAATGATTAAAAAAAAAATAAATACATAATTAGTTATGCTGGATTTTATTGTCTCGCCCCTAATTACAGGTAGCAAATTATCAGTGAGAATAAATCTTAGACATTTTTTCCCTCCAACAGTAATAGCCTGTGGACAGGATGCTTAGTTTCTCCCTTCAACTTCTTATGGCTTGTGTAAAACAATTAAAAATCATAAAAATTGGATTTGATTGCTTTAACAACTAAAACATTCACTCACCTCATAAGCATTAGCTATTTTTTGAAACATAACAGTTGCAGTGGCTTTTTCTTCCTGAAAAATAGAAGCAGAAATAATGAACATAGGAACATTTAATAAAATTATCAAAATTAAAAAACAAAAAAAACAAAAACAAAAAAAAAAAACATATATACATTCAACATTAAAACAGTTTTTGATTTAGAAATTTTTATTCCTTTGGTTTAGATTAATAGATGGTTAGATGATATGACTTGAATTTGCTGTACTTTTTCAATATGACTGTCCATTTTTTTTTTTTCTTTTTTAAATTATCAGAGTCAAATTTCATGAGGAAATAAATTGATAACTTTAAGAGAATTTAACATAATATTGATAGGAAAAAGTGTTATCAAATTATTTAAATTGCCATGTAATCTAATTGTTTCACGAAGTTATTTTTGATAAAAAAAAAAGTTCATATTTGAGATGTGAATAAGAGAAAAGTGTCAAGATAGTTAATTTTCACAAAAGGTTCTATTTAGACATTTTAACATCAGAATTCTGTTTTCCAAAAGATGTGGATGAAGAGGAATGATTTGAGAAAGATATGAAAACAAGAGACAAATGAAGAGAGATTGGAGGGGAGGCACAGATAACATGAATGGCTATTGAAAATGTTTCACCCTCAGCCAGCATTCCTATGTTTGACCATAGAAATACTGATGTGAGAAGTGAATTAAACTTTTCAACTACCACCTTTTGTGTGTGCATTATCTAAGAAATCAATGATAAAAACAGACTAAATTTTAAATTTAATCTCCAGAATTTTGTTGGTTACATAAACATAATGTCTTAGCAGGTAACGCACCTCTGTTTTGAACCTGTCCGGATGCCATTTCCGTGCAAGTTTACGATACGCTTTGACAATTTCATTCTGAAAGAGAACAAAAAAATACATCAATTATCAATCCTAAACAGAAAAAAACAATTAGTTGAATACTAGCTGTTTGCATAACCCATGAGATCACTGGTAGGATTTATTAAAGCAATGCATCAAAATTTATTTTACTCTTGTGACAACAAAATCTAGCAGTTGGCTGAAAATGTAACAATCATGGCTGTGTTTTTCAACCATCTAATTAGAACCTATGGTTTCAATATTTTTTTAGCACTGCTCACTGACTTTACTGCTACTCTTCACCCACTTGACTTTATTTTTTTTCTGCACCAATGCACTAAATTTTTATAATGAAAAATAAAAACATTAAGAAACAAATTTTACAGTAGCTGACCTAAAATTTGTTTTAGCAATTTCAGCAGTCTGCATATTATGTACTGAAAATCAAAATGTAAGTTGGCAATCAGAAGTGACCATATTGCATATGCTTGAGCAGATTCTCACATGGAGTTATTCATCCTGCATTGACACATCATGAGCTTTACAGTATGACTGTTACATTAACAATGAGCAATCAAGAATTTCATCATCCTGTTCTATCAATTTCCCCACTTTCTCCAATCTAGATTTAGCTTCCTGCAACTGTCTGACTTTTCCCAAAGTTAAATGTCTGTTGAGATGCCATGGTGGAGATTAAGGGGAATGATAAAACAAGGTGATAGCTGATGAAAAATCCAAAAGAGAATTTTGCAGTTGCAGGCTTATTTGATAAGTGGGAGAGATGTTGAGATAAGCACATGATACACAAAGGAATGCATTTTGAAGGGACTAAGGAACCAATCCCCCAGAGAAGCTATCCTTTTGGCAATATTAACTAACAGTACTTTCCTCTGGATATTGTACTTAAAATGGGAAAAAAAATGTATTGTTTTGAAAATCTATTTCTGGTAAGCCATATATATATATATATATATATATAATTACAACTATAAACATTTTTTATAGATAGACCTTATGCATTTTTATTTTTTTTATTTGTGTACCAGCCTGTACAATTGAGAAAACTTGAAGAAAATGCACAGAGTTCGAACCAGTATCCCCATTTGTAAGAGAAACCGCTATCCAATCTAGCATGGTTTTTAAATTTTATTAAGTACACAGACTGATAGATCGAACATGACTCAATCATGGGTCCTTCCTGTGCTGATCAACTGATGGTTATCTACTGGCCGTTTTGTTCCTTCATTTGCTCTGCCCCACATTGTGTTCCCTGATCATAGAGCAGCAAGGACCAAATTTTGTCCGTACTTGAGTACTGAATTAAGCTGCAGCAGAATCATGCTACAAAAGGACAAAGACCACTTCCACTAGTAATAATACAAGTAACAAAATGATAAAGAAGGTCACCGAATTAATTTTCAATTGGTTTATATAGTTGTCGATACAACAAAATTAACCCTTCCTGTAACTTCTCTATTGTGAGACTGTTTCTTCTGGAACTTGGAGTTGGTTAAAAGATACAACAAAGAAAGAGGTTGGTCAAGTATTCTCTTAGCAGCAGGTCATGTGGGGTTCAGCAGCTCCTTCATCCGCTGCTGTCTTGTCTTGTTTTGGTTTTCACTCCAACTGCCAAGTTGCTTAAGCCTTCTGTTTATATGCATTTCACCCAACACCTACCCCACCTTAAAACTCATTAATATTTGTATCAATTATTTTTTCCAGTTATGGAGAAACAACACTGACCTTCAAAAAAAGCAGTCAGGTATTCAAAACAATACTTACTTTGACAACAAACTATGCTTATCATTCTTCCATGTCCTTCATGGCAATCAGACACAGTTGGCCATTTATCCAAAATAATTTTTTCCAATAACAAATTTCTGTGGTTAAAAATTATTTCTATTTCCCTAATGTCAAAGAATTCTCTTTGTTGTCAACCTTTCAATATGACGGATTAAAATCCCATTGTTTACATGTGATTAATTTTTATCTGTAAGATCAGCATTTGTGTTATTTTCTCTTAAAACATTTAAAAAATATTTTGGCTGGCAATTGTGTTTTACATTCTGGCTTTGAGGATTCATAACGATTCCATTTGCCCATCAATTTATCAGGAAAAAAAAGAATTTTTTTCCTTGCTCCATATTTCAATTCACATTTTCATCTTAATTTTAATGTTTTGACCCTTCCAATTCTCCAATTCCTATACAAGGTTTTCACATGAACTCTTAAGCCTAGTTTTGTATTAACAGTGTCAAAATAGTCACATAAAGGTAGGGCATCTGTTTCAAATTCAGTTATCAACTAAAAATAATGTTTGTATTAATAAAAATGTTGGATTAAAAATAAAGCCATTAATTCTTTAGAAATTGCTTTGTTAATATTTTGTATACAAAATCAAGCAGAGATAGAACCTAGCTGAGCTGTCTAAAGCATGCCAGATCAGACAGTGCTTTCTTCTACATAGGGGGAGGGCACAGGTTTTAACTCTGCCAGAGAATACCTTTTCTTTCTCAAGTTTTCTTGAATATACAAGCTGATAGAATACACCCTATTAAACAAAAAAAAAAAAAAAAAAAAAAAAAAAAAAAATGGGGCTTCTATTTCTAACATGGGTACCCACTAAAAATAATATGGAAATAATAATAATGTCCGATTAGAATAAATGGTATTTATTAGCTAAATATAGCACAAGGTCAGAAGTGTAAGGTACCAAACAAGAATCAAACTTACTACAATAATAATGTAGTGTGAGACTAAGAGTTCATCAAAATTTTTATCAGTCATTTCTTTTTTTTAAGAATTTGTTCACAATAAGTTAATGAAACAGAAGAACCAAAAATGATTTACTTGGAAACAAGACTTCTTTATTCATATTCCTTTGAACTTGAGGGAAGATGTCCTCACAGAATTCTATATCATTCACGAATTATTATTAAAAAAAGCCAGAAACAAAACAAGTACCATCCATCCTGTAAAAGCAAAAAAAAAAAAAAAAAGGACAGGGAATCAATGATTCATTCATTGAACCTAATCATGGTTTTGTTATGCACATTTACCTATAGATCTTGTACAGTCAACTGGTATCCTGGAAAAAAAAACTTGATTGGCAACTCATTTGAGAGAAGAATTACAGTGGGGCAGGAGTTGAGTAACATTTCGATATGTGGAAAAGACAAAAAATATATTTGCTTGCAAAAAAAAAAAAAAAAAAAAAAAAAAAAAGAAAAAAGGAAAATTTTGATAGACAAATTATGCAGTAAACAAAATTGGAGGTCAGGGTTTCAGGGTGATTTAATGATTAGTGAGATAGTCCAGTTGATTATTACTACTGAGTAGTAGGTTTGATTCTTATGCTGTTCACTATTCTTGTGCCAAGCTAAACTACACAAATTACAACTGAAATTACCATATAGTAATGGTGAATGGGCTACTCTAGCAGACCCTGACTATAGTGCAACAAATGTAATTCTGAATGCTACACATTCATGACCTTGTGCCAAACTAAGCAACATTTAATAAATACCAATGAATGTCTTCATTATGGAGCAATGATCAGTAAGCCGTCTTGCAGATTATTTCTGAGTAACAAATTCAATCCTCACTGGGGGACCCATACTTGTAGCTCCGTGTTTAAACAAATTTTCACAAGGAAACCAGTAATAAGTATCATGCTAATTGAGTGAACTATTAATGCTATACAGCAAGTTTAATCATCACTAGGTGCCTCACACAAATAGCCAAAGTTTAGTAAATACTTAGAGACTGAGTTATATATGCATGTATACTGCAGCTCTATTAGTGATATTGATGGAGAAATGAAAAGGAGATACCAAAAACAACATTAAGAGAAATCAAAAACATTCCACTGTTGCATCATAACTACTCACATGATGGTTAACAAGCTAATCTGGGAAAACAAGTCATAAATATACCGAGTTCAATTCTGACTAGGCTGAGAAAATTATTATACAGATACTAATCATTGTTTAATAGTTAGCAAGTTCATTGATTGGTTTAACAGCTTATCAACCCTTTACACATTATTTAAAACCAGATAATATTTTTTAGATTGTAAGAATTTTTTTTGTAGATAATGATTAAGGGATACAAATTTTACTAATTAACCCATAGCTGGGGGACAGAAGAGGTGGATTCATATGTTTCCGAAGGTATTTGCGCGTAAGTAAATATAACAAACCCAACTGAAATTGAAATTTAGCTCTCTGATTAACAATTCTGAGCCATTACCCATTACACCACCCACATATCCAAGCTTACAGCATCTGGTATTCACCCATCTAGGTACTGACTAGGCTCAGAATTGCTTAACTTTGGTGATCATATGAGAACTAATGTTTTAACATGTGGCCCTAAGCCAGTTAGCAAGTTTATTTCACAGATCTTTCGATAGTATTGTGCATTTGATCCTCACTGGTTGTCTTGCAAAACTAAGCTGAGTAATTAACAAAAATATTGATATTTACTAAGCTTAGTCTGACACAAGACCAGAAATAGAAGTTACTAAATATTATTGTAGTGAGGAGTCCAAAAGAATGAGAATATTAACTGATGGATTAAATGAATTCTAAAAATTAGATTATCTGAAATTGTTTCTTACTCAATGAGGGAGAAAGAAACCTAAATATTAATATGAAAGGGCAAAAATATATAAAAGCTGCCTTTTGTGTATTTTGTGAAATACATTAATATTCCAGAATTTAGCATTGTTTTGAACTACTGATCATTCTTTTTACTGTTTTTGTTGACAATACATTTTGGCCAAACTATTCTTCAGTCTTTCTTATGTGTACAATCTATATATAAAAAGATTTTATCGCTCCCCACACCAAATTAGTAGTGTTCACTAATAACATAAATCAAAAGATGATCCTCTCAGTATATTTACAACTATATTTTTTTCTTGTTTTACATGAAAAATAAATAAAATAAGAGACCTCTTTACTTTTTCTATGGATTGCACAGATATGGAAGATAGATTGTTTTACCAGCATTTCAACACCAATGGCTCATTT